CCCCCCCCCCCGCCCCCACCCCCTCTCCATCCTAATCCTATAGAAGGCAACCTCTGGCACAGCGCCTGCCAGAAAATTTTTCCTCAAGCGAACTAAATCTTGAACTCCCCAGATACAACTTCATAGGTGCCGACAACAAAAAGCTGGGGTGCTGGAATCTGCACCTCCAAAGTGGGGGAAGGGCAGGCACATACAAATGCTCCAATACTTGAGCCAGTCTTTATATCAACAGGGTATACAATTGAGGGGCCCGAGGGATTCCAATATACAAAGGACGGTTTGCCGTACCCCCTTAGTCTTAGGGGTTAATAAAGCGGTCTTGGTACCTCTTAGGGGTGAAAAAAATTTCAAGCCACGCCCACAAACAGGATCCTGGTACTTCTTAGGAGTCCCTTTCAAAATTTCCGACGAGCACCCCCGTCCTTTGTATATGAGTTCCCCCGGGGGGAGGGGGGTATACGTAACTTAAACTCCTTGTTCAATGTTGGATGTTAAATAATTCCAGTTTTCCTTCAAAACATTGCGTCTTTTTCCTCTGACATTAAGAAGTATATTTTCACTTCTCCGTGGCTAGTTCTGACCATTTCTTCATGCCTTATAAGCCAACATGCCGCCATTCCATATGCCAAGGTCGGTATTCCTAAGTTCAGAACTTTCAGCAGCGTAAAAATTGTGTTCTCCAGCTTCAAATCTTGCCAAGGTCTTTTTGAGCAGTGGTATTTGATGAAAGGAAAACAGCCTGTTCTGAGGATGTGGTAATTCTGGCCATCTACTCGCCAGTTAAAATGCGACATCCCAAAGTTGTCGTTCACCACTGACTTGTAACGCACAAAATACGAAGTCCACTCCGGCAAGTCTCTTTGTCGCAAATGCTGTGTCAATACCTCTGATGCTTTAGGCTTTAGCTTGTACCTTGGAAGGAATTTTTTCATTTTCCCTATCATAATTGTTGATATTTTTGACCTTATAAAACAGAGCTAAAACTTATCCAAGTAGCCGCCATTTTTTCAAGGTTACTACGGTTCCAGGCCACCCTCCAAACTTTGCTATACTCGTTTCCAGGTCTTTTCAGTCTGTGCGCTTGAAGATCGTCTCTGTGATGGAGAAATGTTTATTTTTTTTCTTTATGCTCTATCCAACGTGAAACCCTTCTGAAGCCATGTCTCATGCTGTCGATACAGCTCTGAGAATCGTCTTTCTCGGCAGCCATGCTGAACCTTGCCTGATGCAGGAGGTAGTTGCTATTCCCAGGTTAAAATCAGGGGAGATACTTGGAAAGGTGCGCATGGCTACAATATGTGGGTCTGATTTGCATACGATCAGTGGTAGAAGAAAAGAAGCGACCCCCAGGTTTGGTAAATAATCTAGATACATCAGGGGGGTGCTTTTGTGAGAGTACAGCGCACAGGGGGTAGGGCATGAAGCGCTCTAAAATGGGAACTCGTCTCTAATGCATGACCTCAGCTCTGATCACCAGGAATGAACACCTTTTCTATTAACTACCAGAGTGTAAGAGTTAAAAAATATTATACAGTGGCGGATCCAGACCTTGAGCT